TCCTGCTGTGAATGCAGCTCCTGCTGTCTTCCTGCATCCCTAGGGCAGCCCCGGAAAAGAGACCTGATGTTACCTGGGAGGTGCAGATCAGTGTGTGAAGTGAAAAACCAGGGGGAAGCCCGAGAAGGAAGAAAAGCCTATTTTCAGGGAAGCAGGGCCAAGTGGCCTGCACCTGGTGACGCAGCTTTCCCACAGCCAGGCAGATGGCTCTCCTGCATGGTTGGACCACGGGCAGCGAGTCCTGGAAAGGCCTGCCTGCTGGCTGGCAGGAAGGGAGTGTCCTCAGAGGAGCTGCTCTATTCTGTCATTTACATAGAGGCGGTGGAGGCAGGACTCAAGTAGCCCTAGGGGAAGAGAGGTGGGGCTGTGGTCCAGTCCCCTGAGGGGAGTGCCTTCCCCAGGTTGTACAGCTGAACCCAAACCCAATAACTTAGGTTTTCTTTGCAAAAACTCTGGCCTAGATGTTGACAACCTGGTTGAAGTCAGATCTGGTGAAAGTGCAGGGCCCACTGTGCTGGCACGAGAATGTGAATGGACCTCAGGCAGAAAATGTACAGGTTTCCCTGAGTTCACATCAAGCCTTCAAGTCTTGCTATAGAGGAGTGTACAGTGAGCAGTGGAATCTGAAATTGGAGAGCTTATAAGCCACCCCCCAAACACCAAAGCTGAGATTCTACAATGGGACAGAATCAAGGCCATCAGAGTTTCCATTTTTAATCTGCAAAATCTGAGTCATCAAACTAGCTTTATTGAATGAAATGGGGAATAAAAGTTATGAAAGCTTGAGAAAGCTACTACTCAGTTGACACCAGCTGCTGCCTAACACTTTCACCTTCCTGGCCCTGGTCTAGGTGATCTGCGTCATCATACAGCCTCCATTCAGAAAGCAATCCCACTTCTGGGCATACACACTGAGGAAACCAGATCTGAAAGAGACACGTGCACCCCAATGTTCATCGCAGCACTGTTTACAATAGCCAGGACATGGAAGCAACCTAGATGCCCATCAGCAGACGAATGGATGAGGAAGCTGTGGTACATATACACCATGGAATATTACTCAGCCATTAAAAAGAATTCATTTGAATCAGTTCTAATGAGATGGATGAAACTGGAGCCCATTATACAGAGCGAAGTAAGTCAAAAAGATAAAGACCATTACAGTATACTAACACATATATATGGAATTTACCAATGGTATTTTTCAGAGAACTAGAACAAATAATTTCACAATTTGTATGGAAATGCAAGAAACCTTGAATAGCCAAAGCAATCTTGAGAAAGAAGAAGGGAACTAGAGGAATCAACCTCCCTGACTTCAGACTATACTACAAAGCTACAGTCATCAAGACAGTATGGTCCTGGCAAAGAAACAGAAATATAGACGAATGGAACAAAATAGAAAAACCAGAGAAAAATCCACGCACCTATATGCACCTTAAATTGACGAAGGAGGCAAGAATACACAATGGAGAAAAGACAATCTCTTTACCAAATTGTGCTGGGAAAACTGGTCAACCACTTGGAAAAGAATGAAACCTTAACACTTTTTAAATTGTACACGAAAGGAAACACAAAATGGATTAAAGATCTAAATGTAAGACCAGAAACTATAAACCTCCTAGAGGACAACATAGGCAAAATGATCTCTGAGATAACTCACAGCAGGATACCCTAGGACCCATCCCCAGAGCAATGGAAATGAAAGCAAAAATAAACAAATGGGACCAAATTAAACTGAAAAGCTCTTACACAGTGAAAGAAACTATAAGCAAGGTGAAGGACAGCCTTCAGAATGGGAAAAAAAAATAATATCAAATGGAGCAACTGAAAAAGATTCAATATCAAAAATATATAAGAAACTCAGGCAGCTCAATTCCAAAAAAATAAACGACCCACTCAACAAATGGGCCAAAGAAGTAAACAGATATTTCTCCAAAGAAGATACACAGGTACCTAACAAACACATGAAAAGATGCCCAACATCACTCATTATCAGAGAAATGCAAATCAAAACCACAATGAGGTACCATCTCATGCTGGTCAGAATGGCTGGTATCAAAAAGTCTTCAGACAATAAGTGCTAAAGAGGGTGTAGAGAAAAGGGAACCCTCCTACACTGTTTGTGGGAATGCAAACTAGTACAGCCACTATGGAGAACAGTGTGGAGATTCCTTCAAAAACTGGAAAAAGAACTGCCATACGACCCAGCAATCCCTCTGCTGGGCATACACACTGAGGAAACTAGAATTGAAAGAGACATGTGTACCCCAATGCTCATCACAGCACTGTTTACAATAGCTAGGACAGGGAAACAACCTAGATGTCCATCCTTAGATGAATGGATAAGAAAGCTGTGGTACATATACACAATGGAATGTTACTCAGCTATTAAAAAGATCACATTTGAATCAGTTCTAATAAGGTGTATGAAACTGGAGCCTATTATACAGAGTGAAGTAAGTCAGAAAGAAAAATATGAATACAGTATATTAACACATACATATTGACTTAGAAAGATGGTAATGATGATCCTTTATGCAAGACAGCATAAGAGACACAGAGATAAAGAACAGACTTTTGGACTCTGTGGGAGAAGGTGAGGGTGGAAAGATTTGAGAGAATAGCATTAAAACACATATATTACCATATGTGAAATACATTGCCAGTCCACGTTCGATGCATGAGACAGAGCACTCAGGGCTGGTGCACTGGGATGACCCTGAGGGATGGGATGGTTAGGGAGGTGGGAGGGGGATTCAGGATGTGGGACACATGTACACCCATGGCTGATTCATGTCAATGTATGGCAAAAACTGCTACAATATTGTAAATTAATGAGTCTCCAATTAAAATAAATAAATAAATTTAAATAAAAGAAAAGCCAAAAAAATTTCCAAAAAAAGATTACCAAAACTACCTCAAGAACAATGTGAAAAGCCTAAATATCCCTAAGTCTATCAAAGATATGGAACAGAAAACTCCAGGTCCATGTAATGTAACTAGTGAATGCTATGATATACCTGAAGGAGAAACATCACCAAGCCCATACAAATCCTTTCATAAAGTAGAGGAGAGGAAACATTTCTAAACTGATTTTATGAGACCAGCCTTACAAACTACCAAACCTGGATGAAGACATTGCAAGAAAAGAGAGCCATAGACCAATATTCTTCATTAAGCAAAAATAAAATAAAATAAAATGTTAGCAAATTTAATCCAGCAATATATAAAGCATTATGACCAAATGAGATCTATCCCAAGAATGAAAGATTGGTTATGCATTAAAAAATCTTCAATCAGTGTTATTCATCATATGAAGAAAACACAGGAGAAAAACCATGTGTTTATTTTGATAGAGGCCATAAAATCATTTGACAATATTCAAGAGGCACTATGATAAAAACCTCTCCAAAAACTAGGACTACAAACAGACTTTCTTAATCTGATCAAGGTCACCTACAAAACTCCTACAACTAACGTGATAATGGAGGAAAGTCTAATCCCTCCACTGGAGGTGGGGAAGGCTGCTGGCCTTGGATTTGGAGGGCTGTGGTGAGGCCTATCCAGCCAGGGGGTGAGGATCAAGTGGACTGATTGAAGCACCTGCACCCTCCTCGGGCAGTGGCCCTGATCCAGTCACCTCCCATGGTACCAGTGGTTCCCCGGGAGACACACAGCACCTCCCAGGCAGTGGTGCCCCAGCCCCATCATCACCCCCGACTGCACTGTGTCTGTTGACTTGACCCCTTCCAGACACAGAAATAGACTTGCACCCAGCAGGCCAGCAGACACTAGGTCGCCTCCCAGTTGAGAGCAACTGGCACCTCCAGCCCTCTGGAGAGCTGCAAGGCTTTGTTCCTGGAGAGGGAAAGCCCGTGAGAATTGTGCCAGCAGAGGCCAAGTGACTAGTATTATCCTGGGTGGCACTGCCCTTTCAGCAGCCCTTGTGTGCCACTGGTCCCACTGGTGCTGCTGGCAGGCCTGGGGTAAGCCCCCAGCCGGAAGTCCCTGCATTCTGTGTGCCTGCAGCCCCAAGAGGCCCGGCCCCATGCCACCCCCAGTGAGTCCAACAGCAGTCCTCGCTTCCCTCCCCAGGAGGCCAAGCACAGCCCACTCCCCATCCCTAGTCTCAGGACTCCAGGACAGGGTCCCAGTCCACTGCCATGCAAAGGCAGCTACACATGAACACAAGCACACACAGATGCCAATGTGCATGCCTCTGACCCGTGCTCTCTTTCACACACATACACACGCCCATGTGCATGACCCTGTGCACAAGCACATGTACACTCCCCTGTGCATGCACCTGACCACACACTCTCTCACACACACGTAAACGCACATGTGCTAGCGCCTGTGCACAGGCTCTCTCTCTCTCTCTCTCTCTCTCGGGCACACGCACACACAGACATGGACAGGCAGATGGCCATGTGCATACACCTGCCTACAGACACACAAACGCACACATCAGCTACGTGTGGGACACCAGACGGACAGACCAGACTATCTTCTGGAAGTTGATGACAAGGACCTGCACTCAGCAGGATGGTCACCTGTGAGCATGGCCAGGTTAGCAGTGGCACAGACTTGGAGGTGCACAGGGACCGGGGCTCACTTGAGGTTTGCAGGCTTGGACCAGAAACAGTCGCACACGTTGAGAAGTGGGGGAGGGTCTGTAGGAGCATGCGCACTGAGGAGCTGCCGCCCCACACCCAGAGGCGTCATCGCTAAGCCGTTTACCAGGTTTCCGGGCCCGAGTCAGTACTGACTCAGAGTGCCCAGATCACGTAGGTGTGAATCTGCACAGGCACATGGGGGTGACATGGCACACTAACGCATGAAGCTTCAGCAGGGGGCGCCCAATGCCCGAGAGCCTGCAGTCAGCGCGGGAACCAATGGTCGGGGGGAACCAATCAGGAGGCAGGACCAGGGTGTGTGTGCACAGGTGCTCTTCCTATGCTGAGCTGCAGGTGGCACTACAGGGCTGGTGTCTGTAGGGACAGATCAGTCTTTCCCGCTGTGGAGGGAGGGGAAGGGGGTTCAAGATGGAGCCTGAGGCACACTGTGGAGGAAACATGAGAGCAGCCAATGAAGACGCAGGTGCTGTGGGCTTTGCAGCGGACACAGCACGTGGCAGCCACAGCGTGCCGGGTGGTGCTGGTGGCCAGGATGACCCTGGCGACCCAGCTCGCCCTGGTGATGCCATCATTCATGGAGTTCCTGGTGGCGTCAGTGACCTGAATAATCCCAGAGGCCCCAGCGCTGCAGGAGAGTCAGATGGCACAGTCGGTGTCATTCCACAGTTCCCGGGGGCACCCCAAGTTCCAGGGCCTGGTCGAGACGCTGCACCCAGAGCCGGAATTCTGAGTAACCGCCCCCTCCAGTTGTATCCTATTCCAGGAGCCTCGGTGGGCCGGGCGGCTGCGGTGTGGTCTAGGGGTGGTTTGGGGGGTTGCAGGTGGTGGGGCCTGAAGTGTAGGAGGAGGGTACTCTGGAGGGCTTGAGGGTATGTGTCAGGAGTGGTCTGGCTGCCAAGAGAAGGTAGTGACGAAAAGCAACCTGAAGGGATCCAGAGGGCGGTGTGGTGATATCCAGGGTGTCCGGCGGCATCCTTGTGGGAGAAAGCGGTTCTCTGTGAGCAGGGAGCCTGACTAACGTACAGGCAAAATGACTAGTATGGATGGTGCCTTAACCGTATCTCCACCAGCAGCCTCACTGTGCCTTTCTCATCACACGAGGAGGCAGAGAATGCCCGTCACTTCCTCACTCGACGTACTCAACTGCGAGGGCCGATTCAGAAGGAGCTCGGTGTTAATGGCCGCATGCTGGTTCTGTCAGTTCTAAAGGGGGCCGGGGACGGGGAGGGGGTGGTGGGTGGTGGCCAGGGCCAATCTCAGCCAAGGAGGAGCCATAATGGTGGGTTAAGCCTAAAGGAGTGTGGTGCTCTGGGCTTGTCGGTGTGCGGGAACAGAGGGAGGACATGCTCCTCTTCCTCCTTCTCAGTGGGAACTTGAATTTCATTTTGTCTCCCTTTTAGCCGATTGACTGCTGAAGACCATGCCCTTCTCCAGAGGTCCATCGCCTTCTGTCTGGACCAGCTTTCCCTGGTGATGTGGTCCTTGCAGCACTTTGTGCCCCCCCGTTTTTGCTAAGCCTCAGAAGGGAAAAAGGGGTTAAACCTAGCCTGTGTGCCCTAGCCTCAAGTGTCCTTCCCCAGGGCATTGCTTTCTGCAGTAATTTGATCCGGTTTCATCCTGCGTCTGTGCTGCTGCTTGAGGGCTCAGTGGCATCATAGTTTGGTGATTGTTAACTACATAAAATTGTTTGTTTGGTGATTGTTAACTGCAGAAAATAAAACCGAGCTACTGTGCTGTCTCTGACTTTATTTTTAGCTTCTGCACTTCCTCATTCTGCATTTGTCTTTCAGTTGGAAGGGAGGTTCTGAGATCCAGATATTCAAGGAATACAACATAATTGAAGACAATGTAAGAAGTGGGAGAATAAGAAAGTTGTATACTGCCATTCAGTATTAATTTTGGAATATTTTCTCATTTTATAGTTATATTAAACATTAAGATAAATTACCAGAGGCCTTCCCTGGTGGCTCAGATGGTAAAGAATCTGCCTGCAGTGTGGTAGACCCAGGTTCAATCTCTGGGTTGGGAATATCTTCTGGAAATGTTAATGGCAATCCACTCCAGTATTTTTGCCTGGAGAAATCCTGAACAGTGGAACTTGCAGGCTACAATTCATGGGGTTGCAAGGAGTCAGACTCCACACAGCAAGTGCACTTTTCACTTTTCACATAACACATGAATGATGTTGCTTTTCAGTCTGTAATTCATGTCTGACTATTTGTGCCCCCATGGACTGTAGCATACCAGACTCGTTTGTCCTCCACTGTCTCCAGCAATTTGCTCAAATTCATGTCCATTGAGTGGGTTATGCTATCTCACCATCCCATCCTCTGTCTCCCCCTTTTACTGTTGCCTTCAGTCTTTCCCAGCATTAGGGTCTCTTCCTGTTGGCCCTTCACATTAGGTAGCCAAAGTATAGGAGTTTCAGGTTCAGCATCAGTCCTTCCAATGAATCTTCAGGGTAGATTTCCTTTAGGATTGACTGGTCTGTTCTCCTTGCAGTCCAAGTCCTCTCAAGAGTATCCTTGTATCCTGAAACCTTGCAAAACTCACTACTTAATTGTAATAGTTCTATTATAGATCCCATTGGACTTCGTACATAAAGAAGCATTTTGTCTGTAATGCACATTTTTTTCTTTCCAATTGATGCATTTTAACTGATTGCTGTAGAAATGAAAGTGCCAACACTTTGGCCACCTGGTGCAAAGAGGTGGTTCATTGGCAGAGACCCTGATGCTGGGAAAGACTGAAGGCCTGAGGAGAAGTGGAGGACAGAGGATGAGATGGTTGGAAGGCATCACCGACTCAATGGACATGAATTTGAGCAATTCCAGTAGATGGTGAAGGATAAGGGAAGCCTGGGATGCTGCAGTCAACGGGATTGTAAAGAGTCGGACATGACTGAATGAACACCAAGCAAAGGGAAGATTCTGGTGGGTTGTGTGGTTTGACCCCTCACCATCTGCTACCTTTGTCTAGTGTGACCCTTCTGTGGCACACGTTGGAGAGGTCAAAGCTGCATTGTGGAATGCACGTTTTAGATGGGTCCAGGTTGGGCCAGCTAGTTACCGTCATGCGTGCTGTGGCAGGCAAAGTGAGATGGGAGCCTGTTTGCCCCTCCTGGGAGGCACAGAGACTCACAGTAGAGTGCCTGTGTGTGGTGAGAGGCATTTTGCAGCCCTGGGGGTTCGCTGCTGATGACAGCCAACCGGGAACATCATTCTTTGCAGCCAGGCACTCGGTGGTGGTGGCTTTTTGTTGGCGGGGCCTGTCGTCGACTGTCCTGGGAGTGTGCAGCACACAGATCAGCAAAGGCAGGGCCCCTCCTGCCTGTGGAGATCCCACTGGAAGCCCGAGGGTGGGAGCCTCTTGAGTGACACCTGCACATCTGCACAGCCTCTGCGGGAGGGCAGGGCTGGGGACACATGGGAACCAGCCCCTCAGGTGGAGGAGTGGCCTGGAAAGAGGTGAGAGGAGCCTAGAGCACCTCTGTCACCTCCTGGCCTTGAGATGTGAGGGGCGGTGTTGGTCCAGGAGAAGGAGGGTCCGCATAACTAGCCAGGACAGCAGGGGAAACCTGGGCCCACCCACCCACCAGGGAGCACAAGGAGGGAAGGGCACCCCTGAGTGGAACTGGGGAGACAGTGGAGTGACCGTAGGTCACCACAGCTGGTATCACCTCCACAGCTCCTCTGATTCCAGGAACTTCCTTAGGGCGCATGGCTTTGTCTCGCTTTAACACTGTTATGTCAGGAAGTCTTACTTTCCTGTTTCCATCTGTCCCTCATCTCAGATCTGTGAGGCCTTGAGTGTCACACCTGTCCATATAGCTAAGGTGGGTTATCAGGCAGAAGAGACTTGGTTTCTATGCTTGGTTGGGTCAATCACTGTCTCCCTACTGAAAAGGCTCATGTGAGCATAGATGGGGAAGCCAGTAGCACTGGCCTGTACACTGAGTGTCCAAGTCCCTCCTCCACCCTCAGTTCCCATATTGAAGCCCTAAGCCCCAGGGGCTGGAGTTTGGAGACGGGCCTTTGGGATATACTAAGGTATAGATGAGGTCCTAAGGGTGGTACCTCCATGGTGTGCTTAGTGAGGACGCTGATCAGTCCTGATCCCCCAACTTGGGGAAGACCCCTCTTCTTGGAGGTCCCTCTCTTCCCCTGCTGTGTGTGTTTTACTTTGAGTTTTAATGTGGGGAGGTGTTGGAGGGTGTGGGGGAGGGACATTAACCCTTATCGCCTTGAGAAGCTGTTTAGTAGCCTTGGTCAAGGCCTAGGCAGTAGAAAGTCATGACCCTTCCTTGGCAGTGTCTCTGTGGACACTTGGCAGTGTCCTTTCCACACTGTCTGGGCCAGTACAGGAGGGGTCCGTGTTGGCAGGCGCATTGAGGGCTCCTGAAGGGAGTGTAGTTTCATGAGGGAGCTGAGTCCCTCTGGCCTCATGGGGTCTCCCTAGTGGCACATGGGTAACCAGCAGACTGGGCGGGAACCAATCTAGTGCAAGGAGGCACCCTGAGCAGAGTGGACAGGTGCACTGGGCATCCCTTTGCAGAAGGGGAGGGACTTCGTGAGTGGCTAAGTCTCTCTTCAGCTCCTGTTTACCTCAAGAGGGACGTGTGGTGGCCATGCAGTCCTTTGAGAATGGCGTGGGTTTTCCAGGCAGTGGAGAGGGTATTGCAAGAATGCCCCATGGCATTGTACCCCACAGAGCCACTGGAGGCTGAGAGCAGACCATAGAGCAGGGCACTGTGGATGGGGCGGCCCCCCAGGCACTGGGGGCATCAACTGTCCCAGTGCAAGGTGCGGAGGCTGTGGCCTTTGCTGGAGCCCGCGAGGCCCAGTGCTGGAGTTGTATCCTTTCCGGGGAGCCTGCAGGTTCATAGGGGTTGTAAGGCAGTGGTTGGTAGAGGAGCACAGGAAGATGAGCCCTAGAGACTTCAGAGGTTGCAGGATGGGGGTTGCCACTGGGACACAGAAGGGGTGTCGGGGACTAAGGATGTTCAGAACTAGCAGCCCGTGAGCTGCTGCCAGGTGGCCTGGAGGACATCGGGGTGGCCTGATGGGCTGTGGTGCATAGTTCCCCCAAGGTGATCTGGGGGTAGGCAGGCCTAAGTCGGACCTGGGGGCTGGGACCAAGATGTCCGCATGAACTGGCCCTTAACCAAATAAGCCCTCACCCTCTCCAAGTCCTCCCTGTCCTACCTGGATTCAGAAATGGTCAGCAGGTACCTGACCCAGGGGGCTGACCTCGACCCCGAACCTGTTCAGAGGGAGCTGGTGGTGACTGGCAGTGACTGGATGATGTGATTGGGCCTAAGGACTGGGGAAGGGGCAGCGGGCTCATCTCTGCCTCAGCTGAGCACCACCATTGCACATGGGGAGGCCACAGGCTTGGGTGAAGCAGGGCTGGGCAGTGCGGTTTTCCCGCCGGAGGTCCACTTTAATGGACACAATGGAGAGTGGGTATCAGTGCTGCCTGAGAGGTGGGGGGATTGGAGTGAGGAAGGCCCGGAGTGATCACTTCTAACGCAGTCTTCCTTCCCCCTCTCTTTTAGCCGATTTACCATTGAAGACTCTGGCCTCCTGCAAACTCCCCTGGCCTCCTTGCTCAACTGGCTTTGCATAGTGGTGCAGGTCACGCGGCACTGTGTGCCCCCTTCTTTTTGAATTCTCAGCTGGGAAAAGGGGGTTGAGGCCACAAGAAAGTTCTTTCCTAAGTGGTGCGCCTTTCCCTATGCCAGGAATTTTGCACTATTTAACACTTGATTGGGAGCCTAATTGTTGGCCCCTACTGGCCATTGAACTCCCTCTGACCTCTTGTGTTGATTGGTGCTTAAATACTGGTTACCACAGATAGGAAAACTGAGCTATGTTCTGTGTCTGAGTTTCTCTTCAGCAGCCAGATTTTCTTGCCTTTGTCCTTGAGTGGGAGGGGAGGTTCTGGGTCCAGATAGTCAAGCATCACAAAGCAACTGAAGGCAATTTGGGAAATGGAAGAAAATGAAAAGTATTTGGGTCCTGTTGTTCAGCATTGGCCACTGTCTACCTTTTGGAATACTTTGGCAGTTCTGGGTTGTAGGTATACATTAAATGGATACAAGAGTATTATGAATGAGTAAGGTTTCTAAGGTTTGGGATTAACTGTTTCCTTGGGTTTTTTCATCTAACATCTGAGCTTTTCCGCTGTCTAAACCTTCTTGAAACATCGCACTGAACTGATGCATAAAAGGTACATTATAATGTAATTGCTCAAGACTTAAATTCTCCTCAGTTTTACCCCATTATTCATAATGTCTCAGTGGGATTCTTGTAGTCTCTGTATGAATGGTTCTGTTTTTAATATAGCTTCTGGGAGGTATACCTACAATACAGAATTGCTCTTCAGAAAATGTGCCGCCCCCTCCAGAATGCTTCCTTCCTCACACCCCTTTTTACTACTAGATCTGTTTCCTGCCCTAGTCAAACAAAACACCTTAGTTTTCATGAGCAAAGAATCCAGTAACACTAGAAAAATAAACTTTATGCTTTACCGGCCTTGTTTCATGTCAAGAAAAGAAAAGTGCTAGGATAATGGGTTAAGTGTCCCCAGTATCAGGGGGGAGCAGTTGGCAGTTAGTGTAATCTTGAGAAAATATAACTAAAATCCAAAATCTTTTGTAAGCACTATGCTAATGCATTTTACCTGCGTTATCATGTCTAATAGTCATGATACCTTTTGGAGGTGAGGAATTGAG